ATACAGGAAAGCCATTCTGAACTGGGGGAGGAGGGGTATAGGCTTTAGAAAAATCTTATTTTTTTCCCCTCACACCTGCATTGTCAAGGCATTCAGGAGTACAGGCTCCAGCTTTTGCAGAGCAGTGTCACTGGAGAAGTAATGAAGATACTGCTGACTCCATGCTGAGATCCAAATGGACCTCCTGGTACCAGCAGGTTGATCACAGCCTCTGCCAATGCTGCGGCCGCGCTGAGCACTAAAAGGGGCCTCATAGCTGCCATGTGTGGGGCATCACAACATGCCCAGCCAGGACAGACACTGGATGCCTCTCTTGACAGAGGCCAGGATGATTTACGCTGAGATCAAGGTCTGCTTTCCCCATTTCTAGCAGCGCCGGTTCTTCTATCAGAGAAGGGATTTGGATTTTACTGAAGTAGAATTCATGTGATCCGTTCTTGAGAAACGGAGCCAATGTCCCGTTCATGGCTCATCTGGTCCAAAAAAGTGAAACTTTGCGGTGGTAAGGATTATTTCTGAGTGGTGTGTAAATCCCTGGGCCCTCCTTTTCTTTGCAAAAGATGTATACTAGACTTTCTTAAGTTCTTCCAAGTTCAGAAAATATTTTGGCTCATTTCTTAGCGCTTGAGGCAATGTTGCAAAAGACATGTACTAGACTTTCTTAAGTTCTTCCAAGTTCAGAAAATATTTTGGCTCATTTCTTAGCGCTTTTGAGGCAATGTGCTCCAGCCCTCTCCCCTGTAGTACAGCTCTCTTACTAAGCTGTTCTTTAACCTGTTGTTTCCTCCCACTGTGTGTATTCCTGTTGTTTTTAAGTATGAATGCTTTCTTCTGCTGTTTTGTGGAGGTAGAAACAAAGCATGCACCAAGACTTCAGACTTCCTACCTTCTCTTTGCTTTGCACACTTCTTTCATAGAATAGTGGAACTCCAGTTCTTTGGTGGTATAGGCTTTGTTTTTGCTGCCTAAGTAATGTCCTTGCTCATTGAAACTCATTTGGCACTTCAGCCTTTCTGCATTTGTTACCTGTATCGTTGTTTTGTTCCTTAACACTGTTATGTGCCTTTACTTTCTTTTTTGTTGTTGCATCTTTTTCTTGGATCAGTGAAGAATTTTTGATGCAGCCAGAGTAACCTCTTACTATTTCCCATCTGTCTTCCATTGATATTTGCCGTTGAGCATTTTTAATATAGCCTGAATCACCTGATGTTTGTCTTGCACTTTTTTTCTTCAGGTTATGTGGTTTTTTGAAGAAACTCTTCCCACCAATTCCCTGAATTTGTTTGACTTCTGAAGTCTGTTAACTTTACTTTGATGCTTTCAGAACTTCCTCTCTCCAGAAGAAAATGCTATCATTTCATAATCAGTCATACAAATTACTTTCCACCATTACTTTTTAGATACTCGGGGAAATTCATCCTCAATTTTCTTATTCCATGTGATTCCCATAAGATTCATGAGGTGACTTGTTATTGCTTGTCTCTTCATCCTTGCTTTCTCCCCTTCCCTCTTGAGACTAATTCTCCGTTTCATGATTGATTGTGGCTCCTGGAAGTCTACTGTTTTATTCTTTTGTGATAATGTTCATTATTTCAGCTTGCCGTGGAGATAATCTGCCAGCCAGGACTATTAGTAATAGTCAGTCTTTGACTATTTGGCTCCAACAGGGAACTTGTGATGAAACTCAAAAAACATTCTGCTAGTAAGTCTGAGATGCATTTAATCTAAACGGGCCACTAAGCACAAGAAGTCTTTCCAAAACCTTGAACCTTTTACAGGAGGATAATTGGTGTGTGCTAGCTGCTGCCTGTTGTGGTTTAACCTCAACCGGCAACTGAGCACCACACAGCCGCTCCCGCGTTCCCTGCGCCCCCGGTGGGATGGGGGAGAGAATCAGAAGAGTAAAAGTGAGAAAACTTGTGGGTTGAGATAAAAACAGTTCAATATTTATTATAATATCAACAACAACAACAACAATAATAATCATCATCAAAGCAAGTTGATGCACAATGCAATTGCTCACCACCCGCCGACCGATGCCCAGCC